GCTGTCACAAACGCTTTGAAAAATTCAGAGTTTTCAGAAGACAAATGATTGATTTTACTGATGATTTGCTGCTTTTAAATCCTATTCTATTATTCACATTTACTGTGAATGAGAAAGCCAGCCTAAATTCCTAAATTGCAGATATTACAATTTATAATGTCTACCTGCCACTCGGGAACTAACTACACCAACAATGGCATGCAAATGCAAATCTCCAAATATGCCCCACAGTCTAATTTTGTTAAAGTTTGGCTTTATTTTACATAGGCAGATTCCAAGGTGGATGGGGACAAAGCTGGGAAGTCTGATTCTGAAAAAGTCTGAAAAACATATACTCACCAGATCCTCTGTCCCACCTGACTGCTAGACTGGTTACTGCAGCCTCTTCTTCCCCAGGCTCTGGTGGTCTAATGACCCATGCGCCCTCACATCTAATACAGTGTATTAGATGTGAGGACACCAAGGAACATTCTACCTCTGGAGCGGAGGAAGAGAGAGAGGTGAGCGGTCTCTGCGGCAGGATTGAGGCTCAGTGAGTATTTGTTCTTTATTCTGTCTGCTGCAGAAAATCTAGCAGTTAAACCTTGCAGTACGGGGGTAGCCCCACTGCAAGGGTTCATTTTTATTCTGCCCGGAGAGCACTGGATTAAAGCCAAATCTTTTTTATTTTTTTTAGTTTTGGTTGGAGTTGGTAAGGGTTAAAGATGCTGTCGGGTTGTTATTGATCTATGTGACCCTATTAGGGAGATTTATTGGAGTTGATTTACTAAAGGCAAACATGCTGTTCACTTTGCAATGGAATGTGAACTTTGCAGGGGAAGTTTCCATCACCCAATCATATGCAAACAAAAATAGTTTTTTTATTTGACTTGCACATGATTTGGTATTCTTTGCTAAGTGAGATTTCACTACATTCACCAAGCTAAGGGCAAACTTCCTCTGCAAGGTGCAAATTCCCTTGCAAAATAAACGGCCCATTTGCTTTTAGTAAACCAAACCTATTGTCTTACTTTGTACTAGGGACCATTGCCACCCACATTTTCATTGGTCACCAGAATAGGAGCAGAGGGGAAATCTTCCAATGTGTACAGGTGTTTCAATGACAACTTACACTGTTGTAAGGTTTCCTCTGACTTCCTCTCGTATTCATTTCCAGGACAGGAGGTTAAAGTAGAACTGAAGTCAAGCCTTTTTTTTTTTTTTTAAATAGAAAAGAGGAAGGTTATAACCCCTGTCAGCCTTTTTGACATTTTGATCCCACTGGGGAGATCTCTCTTCACTTCCTGTCCATAGCCACAACAGGAAATGAGAGAAAATCCCTCCAAACAAAGGGAAATCCCTAGTGGTCATCAGAGTCCCCATTGGAGGACTTCCCCTCTGCTCCTGTTCTGGTGATCACTCAAAATTTGGGCTTTTCCCTCACTTTTAGGTATTTCCCATCTACTCTGATGACAACTCAAAATTTTCAGTGATAATGTTCACGAGTCCACACAGAGAGGGTAAATTTCCCTAACAGGGACACAGAGCAGCAAAAAAAAGACCTGACGGGAGGTCTAGTCCCTCTCCACTCCATTCAAAACTAATAAAAAAGTTTTGCCTACACATACACCTTTATTAAAGTCCAACATCACCCACATAACTGAACCATCAATTTTGGCTTGGACTGTCCCTTTAAAAATGGGAGGCCACAAGTATGAATTTATACTTTTTGATTAGTAAATCTTCATATCATAATAGCTTACTCAACTATTTTACAAACTCCTCATTTGAAACTCATAGTTCTTTCCCTTGATGTCTAATATACAATATGCATGTGAAGCATTGCTGCTCAAGCATTCAAAGAGCTATTTAATAGAATGAAAGTTGATTTACGCTCCCCACGAACCAAACCTGATTTTGAACAGAACTGCACAATGTGTGATTAGGATCTCATTTTATTGCAATTCGTTTATCTTTGAATTTTTAATAAAACTTCAGAGTAATGCTGGGTAATGCTTTAAAGCCCATAAATGCTCCATTTGTATGGAAAAATGTTTTTAATCTGTTTGGCTAATGTTAACTGACTGAAAGCTCTGCTATGATTTAAGAGATGAAACACTGGCTTGGTCTTTTTATGCAGTTAAACCGCAGAGTTCCACAGCAGCAAAAACAGACAAAGATTTAGTAAAATTCTTTCAGAATTTGAGTAGTGTACAGAAATGAACTTATCCTGAAAGTGAACTCTGGGATAACCAAGAATTGTCTGAATAGTAGAGCTATAGTATGTGTATTCTTACTAGAATCTTGGTGAGCTTTGTGTATTTCTTCCAGATCTGTGCAGTAATTCAATATGAAACTTGGAACTTCCTGTAATAAAGATCGGTCTCTGCTGCTGCCTTTCCTTGTGCAGGGTGACAGGTCATTAATCCGACCCCCTCCTGTGGTTTTCTGCAGGCTGCCTGTAGTGGGTGGGGCTAATTTTTTCCCCCTCCCCCCCAATGTTAGTGTAAGGACCCACCTTAAATGATGCCTCTTAATCCAATCATCATCTTCTTTCCTGTTGTTTTCAGATGTCCCTCCAGCGCTGGTGCGGGTCTCCGATTCAGCACTGACTCCTCTGTCCTCCTCTCCTCTGATGTCCCATGGAGTCTGTGTGGGTGCACGCTGTTCCATAGACTTACCTTTTCTCTCTCCTCATCTCCCGGCCGAACATCTGAACTGCGCATGCGCCCACCCCAAGATCCTTTACGGCCACCCGAGAAATGTTCAGATGTTCGGACGGGAATGCGCGGCGGAGACACAGGGAAGTATTAACCCTTAAAAAAAGTTGTTGTTTTTATAATCATTTTGCATATATCTACTGCTTGCTAGCTGTAGATATATGCAAAAACAGGCGAGGGTTTAATAATATATCTAAATTAAAGTTTTTGTGTCCAGTGTTCAGCTTTAAATTAAAATGTCAGCTTTCAGAAAAAAATAATATTGTGCCAGAAAGTGCATCTATCAATTTAGAGCATGCAATGTGTTGCTAGGGCATACGGGAGGTTTAAACCGCTTCTTAGTGAAAAGTGGCACACATTTTCTGAGAACAGAACAGGCCGATAACACAAACACACTGTAAGATTAAACACATAGGAATAGGAAGAACAACTGCAAGTTAATATATCACAGGTAACAATTCCTGCCATCTTCCAAAGAATGCTCTTAATACTGCAGCAGAGTTGTAGCTGCAGATTGCTGCTTGAAGAAGAGGACTTTGTGCTTCGGTTGAAGATTTTGCTACAAGAACACTATAGCTGGGCTTAAAAAATGCTGCTAAGGAGTAACCTTTTCCAATGAACCAAAGGTAGGAAGGTATGGAAAATGAAAGAAAAGTGTTTACTGGGGTACTAAACAAATATGCAGTCTACTAATTGTGGATTAACTTGAACTTTCTAATCTGCATGATTATTGCAGGTCGGTAACTCTCATGCAACAAATGTTCTTAGAAAGATCTCAGCAATGGCACCATGTACTGTATATTTCTATTTCTGTATATTTCCCTTTACGTTTCCATCACCTTTACCAACAGGCTCTACACTCCCTTAAATTAAACCCCAATCGCCTGCAAACGCCCCTAGAGAATATGCACACTTACAGTGATGTTCTCAAATGCATGTTAACTGTTGTGCCTCTCAAGCCTAAGGCTGGCCATGCACCTATCAATTTTTTTCGTTCAACCCACAGGCTGAACGAAAAAATTGATGCGATTCCTCCATCAACACAAACAGCGTGTCGATCGAAGAATCGCCGCTGTTTGCATTGTATTCTGACAGGTGCTAGTGGCCAATACCATATCAGCTGATCCAGGAATGCAGGCTGAGAGGGAGCCGACAGCCCCACACACTGTGCGAATTTCGGCTGGTACATTAAAAACCAGCCGAAATTCGGCCAGTGTATGAGCACCTTAAATCTTCCAAAAGCTGACATTGTATTGCCCAAGCAATAGAGATGAACATCAGGGTCCATGGGAGTGTATGCTTTAAAGTGACTCTGCCCAAGCTGCTAACAGGTAAAGTGCTGGCATCTACTGTGCTGGCATCAGTTGTAGCTGAAGTCCCCTCAGCTACAACTGAATGCCAAGCCATTCTGATTCAACAAGCTTTATAATTTCCTGGTAGTTTTGACACTTTCCTGACCCTTCCTGCCTTATCACAATGATGGGCCAACAGGAATGTGTGGGATGCAGGATTACAATCCTCCTGTAATCCAGAGGTCATCTTAAGCTCTTCCCTGTGTGATCAATTTATATAAGGGAGAGGGCAAGCTTCGCCTCTACCAGGGAGTGTCAGAACTTTGCCAAATCCAAGCAGCCCAAGCATAGTGGTGGGTCTGCCGGTGGTTGAAAATATGGCGCCTGTGCTTTATAACAGATTTTCACTTCAAAAAGCTTATGAGTCACTTTAAACACAACATCCCTACAGAAGAACAACATTATCTACTGTACCTTTCCTACCAACCAAGCCTAAAAACAGCATTAGATAACAGCATTAGATAAGGTGATGTGCATCAAGAGGAGGGAAAAACCTGTTCACAGTCAAACAATCCTCCTGTAATCCAGAGGTCATCTTAAGCTCTTCCCTGTGTGATCAATTTATATATGACATGTATGGGGACCAGTGCCATTTGCTGACCTTATTAATGGACAATAAGAACATTTGCACAAAGACTTTTCATTACATCAGTTTTTTTTACACCCCCTATTCTACTTGGTTAAGACTGATAAGCAACATCAGCAGTAGTTACATGAGATAATAGGGCCAGCAGCTCTGCTTCATAGTAATGTGGCAGTCAGAATATGTATTCCAGTACTGCCAGCCAGCCCCATGGATGGAGCAACTAAAACCTAGCTGTAATTATTCTTCTGAATTTGGAGAATGAAACCTAATGCTTAAATGTTTGCTCTGAGAGACACCAAAGATTTTCTATGCACTGCTTATAAATCAGTCAAAGATCAGTCAAATATCTGACGGAGGACATACCTTGGTATGAACTTGAGCTGTACACTGAAGGATGACTGAGCTTGGATGAAACCAGTCTTTGGAAGAAGCTCCATGTGGTTTCTTAGTTCTTTGCACACTTCAAATTTCAAACGAAGGGCGGTTGTTGCTCTGCAAGTCAGACACAGGAACTTGATATACTATTACTCATGTTAATACATTGTTGCATTTAATTACTATTTCAGTGCAATACACAGAGATTTATTTTTTTTCCCAAATTTAAATAAACAAGTCACTAAACTTTTAAAGGACAACTTTACTTTAGTCCTGTCCTTTAAGTAACCTCCTCACCCCCTGAGTGCAGTCCATCTGGTAAAATATCTACTTCACTAACCATTTGAGCAATGTTCACTGTGTGGTCCTGCCCAAACACTTGCAAACAGAATGTGCTGGCCAGTACCCCTCCCTACTGCATACAAATGTCACAGCCCCATTTATTCCTATAGGTGAACCATACTCATGGTGGCCTCTAGCCATCCAGTACATAGGCTCTGTGAAGAGTAATCTCTATTTCATAGTATCTTATAGGCTTCCTAATAACCTCTACTGGATTTACTTTATTGTATTGTACCTTACTTATATAGTTATATATTGTTACACTAGTTTATAATTGTAGTATATACAGTATAACTATGTGTAGTCTGTCATTGCACCAACCTCTGTATATCAGCTGGAATGTTAAACCTGGTTTAATATTAAATATATACAGACCCCTAATATTTCCATTTTAAAAGAGAACAAGAGATTGAGGACACAATCTCTTTTTCTGCAGCCCCTGTTATAAATGAACAGGAAGCCTCTATACTGAGTGCTCCTGTCCATTCATAAACTGTGGAGATAGTAATAGTTACTATCTCCACATTCATGAATGAACAGGAAGTGATGTAGAGCACTTCCTGTTCATTCAAAACTGGGGAAACTGTAAGCATACTATGTCCCCAGTTATTTACAAACACTGACAGGGTTATTGACTGATAGGGTGAAGAGTTTGGAGAAGGCAGGAGAAAGGAACAATCTAGGCCAAAATAGCTGATTTGGAAAAATTCTCCAATTCAGCTCACTTTCCAGTTCAGCTATATTGTCCTAGATTGTTCACTTCCCCTGCCTTCTCCAAACTCTTCACCCTTTTGTGAATAACCCTGTTAGTGATCAGTTCTGATGGTGCTTGAGTGCTTGTAAGACACTCCCCATTACAGGAGGCCAAGCGAGCCGGTGCAGGAGTTTTGGTACTATCTGCATTTTCGGTGCATTCCTAACACACATATATATATATATATATACACATATACATATATACTGTATTATATACACATACACACAAACACATACAGTATTTATTAAAAAAATAGTTACTAGTACTCTATTTTTTGGTATCGACTTTTCAGCAGACATTATTTTATTCCACCTGCAACTAACATTTGCAAAAAGGTCAGCAATGCAGCCTACATATTTTTCTTTAAAAAGACTTGCTTATTTTTGTCTAATGTTCCATCTCCTTCTGAACATATTAATTCCCTGGTTGTCATGTTGATCAAAGTGACTTCAGTACTTTCAGGGTTACTGACCTAGAACAAGTGTGCCGATTAGGAGCTCTGACTTTGACTGTTGAATGCTTGTTTCAGATCAATATCTCCAAAAGTACTGAAGCCAGAGGCAGCCGGGCAACTAATATTTTCAGAAGGAGATCCGCAATAGCAGCCTTAATATTCCTCTCAGTATGGGGTTTTCTTTAAATCGTCTCCTGTGGAGCGCATGCGCGAGCTTGACCAAGATGGCCGCACACTAACCAGCTCCGCGCCTGCCCGGGAGAATAACTGACTTTTACGGCTGATCACCGGACTCGTTCTCGCTCCAAACACTGATTCCTAGCCTCGGGCTCCCGCCGCCGATCGGTACATACCGAGATGTCGCAAACCAGAAGTAGGGGCGGTAAGATGAATCAACCAACCCTCCACGAGGCATTGGGCCGCGCGGCCCACAAACTGGCCCCAGCGCCAGCAATACTATGAACACAGATCAAGTCTGTTCCACATAAGAAACGAACTTAATCTTTGTCTAACGCACCTTTCGAATGACAGATTGGCTTGGACCAAACATAGGTTTTATATCAAAGGTGACAAACCAGACACAATGCTCGCCCATAGACTTAGGGAAGCAAACCCCAGAAAAAACCCTATCCAACTACGCCTGGGAGGGGCCCCAGTCACTGCCCATCCTGTCAATCGTCTCCTGTGTACATGGTTTGCAGGGTGTGCAGTTCATGTGCAGCATGGTTCTCCATAAGTATGTTTTGATTCTCTCCTCATGGGGATTATCTTCATGCTGCTGCTACTCCGACATATGAAGTTGAAATATTTAATATAATGGAAGGTTACAGCTCTGTACAGCTCTCCATCTCTGTAATTGGCACACTTGCCTCTCTCTTTGCACCAATTAAGTTGGAGGGGTTTGGGTGGTATTAACCTCTGCTCCTCAGACATCAAAGCCAAGAAGATTAACAACGTTCATGCATAATACATATATGAATAGTTTCTTGGAGTTAGCCTGTGGTCTCAATCATCCAAATCCTTACTGAAGTCACGTAAACTGCTGCTGCTGTTTCAGAGCATCCTTAAATCTCTGTTCTTTGTGATCTGCTGTCCAATGATACAGTAATAGAAGGAAGAAAAAAATGATGAAGGGAACTACATTCTGACAAAGGGTTCCAAGCAACTGATCTGAATACAGCTGTATTTTTTCTACAGTGCTGCAGTGGTTTAATAAAATGAGGACTCTGGCTGTTTTGTGTAGCATATTCACCTATTCCATATTTGACATGAATGTCATATGATGAAAGACATCATTCAAGACAGGAAGGCAGAGCACATATAGAACAATTTGCTGAATTGTAAGGTAACTCAGCTGCTAGGGCTTAAGGTATGAACAATGCACAAAATACTGTCGAAAACAGATATATTATTTTTCAATAGATGGGTGTCAGTGGGTTACCCACTCATGACCTTCTTATATTTCTCAGTCTCTGTTAGTGAAATCACATCAGTTGAGTGCCCAGCTATACTCCATCACAGCGATTCCAAAGGCCAGCTAGAAAGTTTTGCTCCAATTGCAGTATTTCCAAATAGCAAGACATAATTTATAAGTGTCATTACTTATGAAACATACACTGCAATGCAGTCACATATGTGCAAATAATGATGGCCACAAAGGGCAAATAAAGAAACTATTTTTATGTATGATGTGATAGAGCATCATCTGGTCACACTCATATTAACCATAGCAGTTATGCATAGGGGACAACTTATGCGCAGATGATTTAACCAACTGCATTCAACCACACTGGGAATATCTGTCCTGGGTCAACTTTTAACCAGTTGACATCCGGGGTGTTAAACCCCCTTCCCATCCAGGCCATTTTTCAGTATTCAGCGCTGCGGTACTTTGACTGACATTTATTCCGTCATGCAGCGCTGTACTGAAATGAATTTTATACCCTTTTTTGGGGACAGACAGAGCTTTATTTTGGTGGTATTTAATCACCACTGGGGTTTTTATTTTTTTAATATATTAAGGAAAAACTACAGATTGTTTTTAAAAAAAACAGTTCCCCCTATATTAAATTCTAAAACATTTATCGTTACCAAATTTTTTGGTAAAATATAAAAGACGGGGTCACGTCGGGTAAAGAGACACCAAACATGTCAAGCCCTAAAATTGCGCATGCGCGCGAAACCTCAAAAAACGACATTACCCAAAATTGGCCATAGGCGACGCATTAAAAGCTTTTACCGCTCATCAGTTTAGTGTTATCAGTGATTGATGGCCCTAAAATGATTGCTCTCACTGCGACGTTCGCAGCGAGTCTGCCGTCTGTTTTTTCTTAACGGGCGGACGGCAAGAGGTTAATCAAGAAACAATACAGGATTTATATAGCGCCCACAGTTTGGGCAGCGCTTTACAATATAAGGAAGCAAGTAGATGGAGAGACCCTCCGCAGTCCTCACAGCAGTCCCGGCCAGATATGAAAAAAGTGGTGCTCGAAGTGATGAGATACCACGGATGGCGCTGTGCAAACACAGGAAAGTCAGGAAATCACCAGCACTCAGTAGTAAAGATACATGTGTCCCTTTTATTGGACAGAAAGCATCACAGACATCCAAATAAACCGACGTTTCGGGACCGCGCAGGGTCCCTTCCTCAAGGCAGAAAGATGTGACCAATCAAGGAAGACATTACGATCACAATACAATTCAAGACAAGATGGTATAATAATAATTAGATGGTATATAAAGATGGTATAATTATAATTATAATTATTGACCTCTTTATACCCTCATATGTGTTTTTTTACTTCAAGGCCCTCCTTTCGGTTTGTAGACATCTGACCAAGGACATAAGGGTCAGAATCAAGAAACTTTTGAGGCATGACCTCAAATTACCTTTAAGTACCACAGATTTTAGAAATTTTGGATCAAATTGACAACTGGAATTCTAGAAAAACTGACATACCTGTTTTTAACAACAACACTATCCTGGTACAGGCGATCAAAGGTACATATCTTCAAATCTACATTTGAATTTGGAACGTACACAGGAACATCAATTGCCACTCCAATGGCTGTGACAGGAATCTGAAAGAAGAGGTGGGAGATGGTCAAATATGTATCTGTGAACAGCGGCTTCAATGTACTTTTCACGTGTCTCTATTTGCCAAAATCTGAGTAAAGTATAACTAGAATGGAGTAAAACTGATGGATTGTCAGGTCTAATATATCTTATAGCTAGAGCAGGGATAGGCAACCTCGGCCTTCCAGGTGCTTGGACTTTATAAGTCTTATGAGGTATTGCAAGACTCTGACAGCCACAGGCATGACTCTCAGAGGCAGAGACAAGAGGCAGGTTCACCACAGCTGGAGTGCAGAAGTTGCCTACCCCTGATCTAAATCTTATAGGCCAACACAGGCACCCCCTGGATTGCCCCTTAAAGATACATCTGCTGTCTACTCATGTATTCCTCAAACTCCAGCTTGCTGCTGCTATCCCCAGCCTACACTCCCTGCATGATTATTTATTCAGCTTTCAGCTGTTGAGGTCATCAGAGCAAACGTCTCCACTGTACTAAATATGATGTTATTCAAATCATTATCTACCATTGCTTGAAAATACATTTTAGATGGACTTTAAAATATTAAATGTTTTATTTCAGACCACCTGATGTCTGGAATAAAACATCAGGTGCAATGGAGACAGCCATGTTGAAAGATGAACTCAAGGCTTGCTTCTGCATTTACATAGTACCATCATTAATTTAAAATACTTACAGCTTTGCCGTTTTGATTCTCAAAGATGATCTCAAACAATGCACTTGCTTTTCCCGGTATGGTTGGAGTGAAGATAATTGGAATTTTCACTGTAGTAAAAGGTCCTATCTCTCCCTCCGTTACCTGAAACAAAGATTACATCAGACAAAACAAGCACAGCGTGAAACAATCGTTCTGAGCAGAAGATACTTGGATGTGATTGATTTAATTAACACTGATGCCAGTGACCTGCGGCTTGCATGGCTACTATAGAATCATTGGCATGATTTTTTTATTGTGTTTAAAACATATGAAATATCACACACAAATAATTTCTATTTACCTCAAACAGCCAACAGGTGGATAATTCCAATCAAGAGCAACTGCTTAATGGAGCTTGGTAACAGCTTCATTGGTAAACAGACCTCAATTGCAGGCAGCTAAGACTACAGACTGTAGCTCAAAGAGCCCTTAAGACCCCTTAATCTCTCATTTCTACACAGGTTGCCAGCAAGCTCACAGGCAGGGGATTCCCTTTTTCAAATCCCATGCACTGTAAACTGAATACCTTGAATGCATCCAGAGTATATATTTTGTAACGTTTAGGGTATTGAAGGATCCTTAGCCAGGCCGTTTTGAACATAACAACTTTATTCTCTTCCAAACAGCACAACTTAAATTGCTTCTTTTCAGCAAACAAACATAAACAGGGTGCATCTTCCAGCAAGATTTGGCTCAGCACTGGTATCATGTCCCACCTCAGGGTTAGAGCCTTAAGCTGGCCATACACCTTACAATTATCTGCAGATTTTCTGTGGTCAGATGGAAAAGGTGAAACAGATTCCTCCATCTACACTTAACTGTGTGGATGGAGTAATCTCCACCTGGGCCAATCTGTTGCACTTTTTCCATCTGACCACAGAAAATCTGCAGATAATTGTAAGGTGTATGGGCACCTTTAGCCTGCTCATGGCCAGACACCCAGCAGCTTCACACCTCCCTGTGTGACGATGGTCCTCCCGACCTTTCCAAACACACCTCGTGTGCCACTGACCCTCCTGGCCTCGCCCACACACCACGTGTGCCACAGGCCCTCTCGGCCTCTCCAGCCAGACTCCAGCTCAGTGTCTCATACACACAGTCTCCCACGCTCTGCATGTACTCCTGCACCACTGGCTGCCTCTTCCTCTCTCTTAATAGGGCTGTAATCAGCCACCTGCACAGTCTGGCCTGGCAATTGGCTGCACCTGGCTGGACCAGGACTGGAGATTTCATCTAGCCCAAGACTCTTAGAAATCTCCAGAGACCCAGATCCAAGTTATACTCCAGAAAAAAATGGAAACCCAGCTCCTTCCCTGACACACTATATGTTTTCTGGACCCTCTCAGCCCCTCTGGCCGAGAGTTCTGGGCGCCAAACACACCAATCCCCATAGTGACACAGAACTGTCCTGTCACAATTTGTAAAATATAGGTTTTATAAAATGAAAATAAGACATAATAAACTTCGGTTAATAAACATGTGAGCTTAAAAAAAAAACAACCCACCAAAACATTGTACATCTATGTAGTTTACTTTTTGTCTAATATAGAAATTCACTCTAATGTAGTGGTGTTGTGGTTAGAGCTTCTGCCTTGTAGCACTGGAGGTCCCTGGTTGGGAGATAGTAGCTAGCGTTTTTGCCTTGCAGCGCTGGACTGGGCTGGGGGTGGCTGGTTCGAATTCAGGCCAGGTCACTATCTACAGAGAGTTTGCATGTTCTCCCTGTGCTTGGGAGGGTTTCATCCAGGTACTCCGGTTTCTTCCCACACTCCAAAGACATGCTGGATGGTTAATTGGCTCCTGTCTAAATTGACCCTCATATGTATGGTTGTGAGATATGGACCTTAGATTGCAAGCTCCTCGAGGGCAGGGACTAATGTGCACTGTGTAAAGCACTGCATAAATTGTCATCACTAGATAAATACCGCTAATAATTAAAGTTTATCACAGTCCAGTCATCAGGGTACATGTGACATTTTTATGCTATTTCCATCCTCATGTATTTTAGCAAGATTATACCAGCTAAAGATCTTACAGGAGAGACACAAGTCCTGAAGCCTATTAGCATGGGGTGCCCCTCCCAAAAATGGTCCCCTAATTTCACCATCTGTGTGATGACATGACATTCTACACAGACTAAGGCAGAATTTAACTTCTGGTCTTCTGGTTACCCTCTATTTCAGATTTGCACCAGGGTTCTGTGGCTTTTGGTCATTCCTCAGTATGAGAGAATACAGCAGTCTACATAAAGGTCTCTGCCAGCTGTTCTTGAACTGTCACACATACCTCACCCAGCTTGATATCTGCAGTTTCTTTCTGGGTCACTCCATACAGATGTTCATCTCCACTGTCTGTGTTTTCCACAACAACAGGAGCTTCCCCATTGACATATTCTACAAACAAAACATTCAGTCAGTTGCAGGAAGCAGATGGAGTCTGTCTGTTTTAAAGGGAATTTTATGCTTTCATTGACACGCACCTGAATATTGAGAGCTACTAGGGTCAGTCCACACAAAAATACATTTTTTTTCTTTTAGTTATAAATAGAGTATGAAAGAGTAAAATGCCTGTCAGGTTTTTCTAACCTCCCATTCTGGTAACAACTGTAAAATGTGTGAATT